CCAACCTTTCCTTCAATGATAGAGGCAAGAAGACTTTCCGACCAGGCCTTACTATAACCAACCTCACAGATCCCACTCCATCTTTTACACCGATGTATCGTACTCTCTCGACCAGCTCATCATAAGAAAATACTGTGAAATCTTTCCGAAGTGAGAGAAGGAGGGAAGGCGCGCTACAACTAACATAACGGCCAGCTGAAAAATGCTAGCTAGCTAGGCTAGCGCGCAATGGCTTTCTCTGATATGGGCTCACTTCTTCAAGCTCCGCCCAACCTATACAAGGTGCTGCTCGCTTTCTCTCAGCCACCAGTGGCTTACGTAGAGGAATTCCTACGTGCTCCTCTTTGACCTCTACTTAAGAATCCAAAGGTGACCTTTGGTTGTGGTCTTGACGCTTTGGTTACGAAAGTAACCGGGGTCTAGGTTTATTGATGGATTTTGTCAGCGAAAGTCCCTCAAACTCAATCAATATCAACAACATGTCGTGACCGGTTAGTCTTGGTGGATTTGTTCATAAAAAGAAAGTAGGTTTCGGGGGTGGGTTCATTGATTAGTACACCTCCGGTGCTGATAAGGTCGGGACCATGGTCGTCCGCCTCAGGTTTGCCGGCCGATAAGATCTCTGAGATTGACCAGCCAGCTGGGTTGGTTTGGCTATTCCTTTCTATTGAAAAGAAGGAGTCAACTGTCTGCACGAGTCACCTTCTTCTAGGCTCCGTTGGACGACACGAGATTCTCGTTTAAGGTCGGCCGCACTTGTGATGGTTCCCCAAGATCCAATATATATGACCACATAGGTCTACGTTGCCACGATATTGTTTTATGGAAGCGGGCGGGATGTTAGAAGTTCGGCCCGATTTTTTTTGGTGTCGTAGGGGAGGGATTGACCTTTTTAACGCATATTCACTTGTACCGGCATGGCCCCACTAATTTGTTTTCGATCGGAGCATCAAGCAGCGCAACCCGGTTCTACTTGACAAAGCCCCGTGCTCGTCCAAGGAGGGAGTTTGCTTTACCCAACTCCCTTTTTGATAACAAGGCAGAAACCCCCGACATTCATTAGTTTCGAATGAAGAATGAAGAATGCCCCAGCAAGCACCTACTTCTATCAAAATTCAAAGCGTTACTTTACTAAACAAGCAATAAAAGCTCTTTACTAATAACATAGAAAGGGCTTTTCTCGCTTGTAGCTTTCTTCGCATGCTTGAGCGCATTAATAGAATACATATAAAATACAAAATTAACTTGAGTTTTCAATAAGGCTCACGTAGGGGCGCTCACGTTTTTTGGCTTACCTAAAATCTAAGATTTTTAAGTTGGTAAAGACCCACCCCTTTTTTCAGTCAAAATGAGTCCCTGGGACCCCGGGACATTGGCTTCCGCCAACAGTGGATATTAAGGATCGCATCCCATGCATATTCTACATTATAGCCTGCAATTGATTCAACTTTTGATTCTGGGAGATCAAACAGAGCTCGATTAGTTTCTGCTAGACGAGAAATGAAGAAGATAACCAATACAGGGAACAAGGGAATACCGGACCATATCTGCTTTTGCGGCATGACAATCTCACTCGAATTACGGGGACCTACACATATTAGTACAGTATACCGGGGTCCCCGGCCAGAACCACATGTGCAAGTTTCCCTGCATGTGGCTCGTCCGCGCTCTCCAAGGCGCTGCCTGTGACTCAACATGGGATAAGAGGGCGTCACGTCACACTTTCGTGTTTAGAGCATTATCCGAGTGAATAGGCAGCGCCTACCAAGCAAAGCTTTCTTGAAGAGGCTGGTTCCTTTTCGGCGCTCACATTTTTTTTAGATGTAGGGGCAAGACAAGCCCCAAGAAAGTCTAGGCTCCCAGCTCAATCTCGGTCGACATGCAGCTCTCGAGGGGGTGGGGTCCTGGAGCGAACTACTCATTGCAGTCTTGCCCCAACCCAAGGCCGTTAAGGTTGGTGAGGAGCATTGTTTTGGGGGAGGGAAAGCGTGGTTGACAAGCCACTTTGAGGAAGCGACTAGAGTGCTTTCATCAAAAGATGCATATGGGCTGAGCCATTCCCATCCCAAGTGGTGGCCCGAATCGGCCTGGCCTGGTCAGGAAGAGATTCACATAGAGACTTTTGATATCCGGGAATCTCTTTCTATGATAGTCCCGCTATGGCCTCTGACCGTCCGTTACGTCTCATCTTGATTTGGCTATAGTTGTATGTAGCCAGCCATGTTAGCTTCACATGAGAGAGCCCTTTTTTTAAGGCTAAAAACTCATCAGTCATCTCGGCCCCTTTCCTATTCAGCTTTGCCGCCTATTAAGAGAATAGGTCCCGTTCAAGCGGCCCGCCTTTATTCATCTATACAAGCTGCCCCATGCATGACCCAATAGGAAAGATTTCAGCGCCCCTATCTAGATAAGAAGTAGAAGGCGCCATCACCTACAATCCTTTCCTCTATCGGGGACTTCCACGAAATGAAAACGGGCGGCATCGTCGTATGCTCGACATTGGTTGCCCAGGTTTATATCCCGGAGTACTCCTATGGCCGATCTGTCACCCAACCTACTAAAAAATATAAAGGCTTGACCCCATCCCGTTTGGAGAATAATCCTTATGGCATGGCTTAGTCAGTTATTCTTGCAGTTCAGATAAGATTCAGACCACCACTTCTCTGAAAGCATGGTTCTTGCCTTCCTCTTTCCTCCCTCCTTGGAGCTCGTCCATTCGTTAGGTGATCCCTTGCTCTCACATTCGAGTGTTTGCTCATCGTTTAGGCCGGTGAGTGAGATTTCTGCTCATTGCAGTCACCTCTGGGGTTCTTCGCACCTAGATAGTACCAAGACCCTTGTGCCCCGGCCCTTGATCAGATAAATCCGCCCTTAAACCAAAAACTAAAAATGATCCTTGCGATGAGACGCGGACATCCCCCATGTCGCGGTTCCCTCCGGTCCGTTCCCAGGTTGGGTTAGGGGAACATCCGAGCGATTGCCTTCGCGGATCCAAACGCGCTCACAAGGCACACAATAAGAATAAGACCAATAGAGACTTCATAAGAGACCATTTGAGCTGCAGATTGTAATGCTTCTATAAAGACATATTTCGAATATAGAGGAGTGAAAGTTCCCAACAACGAGTTGATCATACCCTTCTTTGAACCGTACGAGCACGTCCTCTGTAACCCCCACCGCGCTTAAGGCTCTATACCCCAACCCAACTTGCTCTGGCCCACGGTCCTCCCTTTCTATTCCTCAGTAAGCGGACTGTGGGAGCATGAGAGGGGAGATATCCGCTTTTGACTGATAGAAAGCATCTCTCTTTTGTCCCTCCTGACCGAACCCGAAAAGAATAACTTTATGCCACTTTGTACACTTTAGTGTAGGAACCTTCTTTAAACATGCCAAGCTGTGGAAGAGAGGTGTCAGGGGAATCAATGCTCTCAGCTGAAATAGGGCTTGAAGCCTTCGAAAAACCTTTATGCTCTTTTTTTCCTATCGAGTGGCGTCAACCAGACTCTTATCATACAACTCTTTTTCTTGCTCTTCTGGTGTCCTTTTATTATCTCTTGGCCCGTTGCGCCTGTTTGACCAATGAGAGTCCAGACTGGAGCTCATCTGATTCATTCTTCCATTCGTCAGTATCGTCAAAGCAGCTGAACTCAATCCCGATGGCTACCAGTGTCGATTGGCATTCCACTTCTACAAACTATATATATACTACAGATGTGACCATGGTTCTATCTTGGTGAGAGTGGCGTGACTTGAAGCTGCACGGAGACCATTTCCTTTTCTTGCTCTCGTGGTGGATGTCATCTCGGCATATCGGTCGGTTTAAGATGAATCCGGGGGAGGGATAAATCCTCCATTGGCCGTTGACCTTTGATTCTCTTCTCTGAACAGCTCTTAGGCTAAGATTGAGTTGAATTCGCTTCTCTTCCGTATTCCTCAACTCGACTTTTTGTTGCCGAAGCTGTCTCGAGGCCCTTTCTTTTTGGCTTCCTTGAGTCAGCTTGGTAGCTAGTCTAGTAAAAGAGCCTCTTCTCTTCCCTTAACCTTAATAGGGCTGGCTCCTTCTTCTCGTCCACTTGGGAATGAAGCCTTACCTTTCACTACTAACCTGTTAAATGGAGTTGAGCTGGCTACAAAAAAATGGCTTCAGTGATGGTTGCTTCATCAAATCAAATATAGGTGGAAGGGTCAGACTTTGAGAAAGAGTCCACTGCTGTCCAGTCATAGTCAGTAGGAGCAGCTCCAGCTCAGCTCGATCAAATTTCAAAATTTAACTCTGGCCTTGTAGTACCTCGATATCCTTTGTTGGTAAGTAACCATTCTGAACTGAGCTTGTTTTCTTAACTCTTAAATTAGGTCGAAGTTGGTCCTCAACTCTTCTTCGTTGGAACCCACATTTTGAAAAGTTCTGTTAGGTTCTTAGTAGCAGTCGGCGACCTTTTCTTCCTTCTTTTACTTCACATAGCTTTTCGTCTCCTTGATAGCTGGAAGTTCTCCAAAAGTATGAAAAGCTGGAGGACTTTGTACCAGCCATTCCAGTGTGGTTGAATTTTGTTCAACAGCCCAAGGAATGTTCGCCCTTGTTATGTTATTTCCACTGCTTGAAGTGATTGTTATGACCACGAAGAAACGACGAATCCCAACTACGGATATATAAGAGCCAAAACTGTTAAGGGCATTCCATCCAGCGTAAGCATCTGGATAATCTGGAATGCAACGTGGCATACCCAAAAGCCCTAAGAAATGCATGGGAAAGAGGGTCAGATTAACCCCGAAAAAAGTGATCCAAAAATGGATTTGGCCTAAAGTTTCAGGGTATGTCCGACCAAAGATTTTACCCACCCAATAGTTAAATCTTGCAAATAAAGAAAAAACGGCTCCCATAGAAAGTACATAATGGAAATGTGCAACCACATAATAAGTATCATGTAGAGCAATGTCTAGCCCTGAATTTGCCGGGACTATTCCAGTGAGTCCTCCTATGGTGAACAAAAAGATGAACCCTACAACAAATAACATGGGTGTTTTGTGTTGTATCGAACCCCCCCCCCCTCCTGCATGGTAGCGGTCCAACTAAATATTTTAATTCCAGTGGGGACAGCTATGATCATGGTAGCAGCGGTGAAGTAGGCACGGGTATCAATGTCTAAGCCCACAATAAACATATGATTAGCCCAAACAAGAAATCCAAGAACACCTATACTGATCATGGCATAAACTATGCCTAGATACCCGAAGACCGATTTTCCCGAAAAAGTCGAAACGATATGACTTATGATATCGAATCCAGGAAGAAGTGGAATATATACCTCTGGATGGCCGAAGAACCGAAAGAGATGCTGGTATAATATGGGGTCTCCCCCTCCTGCGGGATCAGAAAAGGTTGTATTAAAGTTTCGATCGGTAAATAACATTGTAATTGCCCCTGCCAGTACCAGAAGTGATAATAAAAGTGGGAATGTTGTTACTGGAATATACCACACAAATAGGGGTGATCTATTCATAGTCATTCCAGGTCCATGCATGTTGGAGATAGTTGTTATAAAATGGATAGAACCTAAAATGGATGACACACCAGATAGATGAAGACTAGAAATCGCTGAATCAACTGCTCCTCCAGAATGGCTGGTAATACCACTTAAGGGCGGATAGACAGTCCACCCAGTGCCTCTACCCACCTCTACTAAGGCTGAGCTTAATAGGAGCAAGAGACTTGGCGGCAACAACCAGAATGAAATATTATTTAATCGTGGAAATGCCATGTCAGGTGCACCTATAAGAATCGGAACAGACCAATTACCAGATCCACCTATCATCACCGACATAACCATAAAAAAGATCATTAAAAAAGCGTGAGTCGTTATTAAAACATTATAAAGTTGATGATTCCCACCAAGAATTTGATCGTCGGGTCGTGCTAATTCCATACGAATCAATACTGAGAAGCATGTGTCCATCACTCCAGCAATGGCACCGAAGATGAAATATAGAGTCCCTATATCCTTGTGGTTAGTGGAGAACAGCCATCGGACCGAATTTGTCATAAAATGGAGATTCTTTTGTTTCCTTCCTTATCAGAGAGGGGCCCCTTCTTAGGGAGCGGGGCTTCCTTCTTGAAAAAGGGGGAGTGAGAGGGGAAGGGAGAATGAAAAGAGGGGTGGGGAAGGTCTGGAAAGCCCTCACTTTATTGATGGGAAATTTTTATCCCCTTTCCTCTCCTCCCGGTTCTGGTTCAGGAAAAGGTCAACGCAAGGATCTTACTTCGAAGCAATCTCTGGAGTTTTCCCTTATCCGAATGGGTCTTGAAAAAAAATAGGATTTCATATTGAGCTCCAAATAAACGCTATTGGGATAGGATGGTTCCTACTAGCTCTCCCCCCTAAGAACCGCACGTGCGAGTTCCCCCGCATACAGCTCAAGTGGTGAAGGTTTGAAGACGCTCGACCCAAACAAGTAACGGCGTTCGAGCCCCAATCAGAGAAAGCCTTGGTAAAGCGTGCTAGCGCGCTTGACTTGGAGGTTCGCGCATCCTCTTGCTGGGAGAGAGGAATGAATCCTTCGTGCTTGATAAGCGTTTCGCTGTAGCCAAGCTTACTACTAGCCTATCGCCCAGAGCAAAGCTTCGACCGCGACGACTCGTCACTTCTGGGCGCCTTTTTCCGTCACCCGAGATCCAAGTCAACACCGGCAAAGATCTCTTGATTCCTCGCGGCCGGCTTGGAAGCAAGCTACCTGTCACCTATCTCACCCCCTTTCTTATTATTAGTAAGATAGGTTGCCCCTTTCCCCTTTCTCTAAGAAGAAGGTAAGCATCCCTCACTGCCGATCGCCTTCAGCAGGGTGAGCCTTCGCTTTTTGGATCATCTTCTGCCCAATGTCAATGTGGTACCCTCCCATTTTTGGTTCTCATTGGATTTACCTTGTTTACAGGTCGACCCCATGGCAGCAAGAAAAAAAAGGCGATCTTGTGCTATACTCCGGTGATCTCTTTCCTACCGAGGCACGCAAACCCCCATCGTGTCCCAGATCACATTCCGTAAATCGAAAGGGGAAGCCTACTCATCCATCAGCTCCTCTCGTAGATCGGTGCAGTTTTACGAAGCGTCTAGGCACAGTTCACTCGCGTTGATCAATCAAGAGCTTTGCCGCCACTCCTTAAGGTTACCTGTTGTATCAGACACTTCTTTAATTCTTTCCCACGCTGCATACCCCCTTATTCTTAAGGTAAGGTAAAGGGCTAGGCATGGTGGGGTAGGAGCATTCTGCCGGCAATCTTTTTGGCTTGACCAAGAAGTCTTATGTCCTCCGAGTCGCATGACGTTTTAACCGAAAAAACTTATTTTGCAATTCATACTTTTCTGTTTTTATGACCAGATATTTTTTCTTAATTTCCATTTCAAATTGTTCTCTGGACTTTTTATCAATATGAGGTGATCGTCACACAGTATATAAGACTCGTGATTCAGGCATTCCAATCTTCCGTGTGTAAGGCGGAAGCCCCCCAAAATGGTTTTCAAATAATGGGTGATCAAAAGATCGAATCACTATGCGTATCTTGGTGGTCATTACTTTAAAATATCTTTTTGGCTGACTCCTCTTCCTGTTCTATTGATCAAAAGAAAGGCACACTTATCTCCGAAATCGGACATTTGCCGAGTTATTATCCGTTCTCCGCCTTATTATAGGAGATATTTACCAGATTAGACTCTGCCACTTTTACTCTTCCACTGGATAGGTATGGATATCTTGGACTCATAGACCGAGATGCTTTCTTTATGCAAGGTAATATAGGAATAATTCTATTTGACCCAGTACGGTTGTGACTGGTTTAGCATTGTCGTCAACTAGGAAGACATCAGTCAGCTTCCCGCCAATGAAAGCTGGTGACTTCTGTTCCAACTGAACTGGGAACAGTCAGGTGCTACCCATTGGACTGGATGCATGAGCCAATTTTCTACACACAGAAGGACTGCACATACACAAACAATTAAGAATCCTAGCAGCATCTCTAACTCTTGGCCTCTTCTCAGAGTCTGGGTGCACACAAAGAAGCCCCACCATGAGCATCCTCTCCATCTCTAGTGCATCAACCTTGGATCAGCAACATCAATTCCCCGAGAAAAAACATCCACAGAAGCGAAAGATATGATTGTATTGACTCAGAAGATACATTTTTTATCAGAGAAACCAACCAAAAGAGAGAGAAAGCTTCTTCAAGAATGGGTGATCAGAATCAAGAACCCATTGATGCGCAAAACCCGTGGAAGTTACAAAAAGCATGGATCGAAGAATATAGTTCATTTGCTTTTTTTAATAAATTGTGCCTAAATTTCGCCAGCATAAAGAGGCTGTGCCGGGCTGTGCACTTTCAGCCCATCACATCAAGGTGACAGGATTCAAACTTATGGCCCTCTGTACCCAAAACAGATGCGCTGACCAGACTGCGCTACACCTCGTCTCACCCCCTCAGCATATAGATCCACCCGATCGATGAACACTCGAACTCACCCATCCTTTTTTTGGCATAGGGACGCGATAACCTAATCAACCGCTTTTTTTAGAAAATATGCCTCCACTCCAGCAAGACAAGATAGGGCGACGCCAAAAAGCCGTATAGTGCAGGAGCGCTCACATTTTATTTTGGCTTCCTCTTTAATTAACTTTAATTTAAGAAAACCCGGCTCGGCTACCTGTCCTTTGGACCCAAAGCCCGCTTAGAAGTGGATTCGAACCATTAACACAAGGATTTTCAGTCCTTTGCTCTAACCAGCTGAGCTACCTGAACCACTTTCCTAAAGTATGTTTTCTTCATCGAATAGTGCCCTACCTTACTTACCACTTGACTAGTCAGGGAAAAGCGACTAATAACAAGAAAGAAAGGGTTTGTTTTCGTTCGTCAAGCTTTCGAGCAGCTCTTTCAACTGCCGCCTAATCTCCTCTCCCAACATGCTCAAGAACCGAGAGCCGCCCAGGGACTTCCGGAGGGAGCTTGCTTATAAAAAGAAGATAGGCCTGTCAAAACAACACGCAACAGGCTCTCCGCTCACTAAGTAGTGCTATTCTATCCTCCGGGGGACTCCACCAACACCAAGAGGTTCTTTCTCTCACGTAATTTCGCTCATTCCACTTTCGTGCCGGAGGGAATGGGATTCAAACCCATTATACAATCTTCTTGTATGTCGATTTAGCAAACCAGTGCCTTAAGCCACTCAGCCATAACTCCAAGTTGTTGATCGGAATTTTATGTGCGGTTGGTTGTCGGCTATCTGATCCTATCAACTACGTAAGCCGTAGCGCGCTAGCGCGGGTACTCTTCCTCTATCTATGAGCGAGACTCCATTAAAATCTGCCACTCGTTGGGCAACGCACTATTTTCTATGAACACCCCACCACTGAGTGATGAGACGCGGACATCCCCCATGCCGCGGTTCCCTCCGGTCCGTTCCCAGGTTGGGTTAGGGGAACATCCGAGCGATTGCCTTCGCGGATCCAAACGCGCTCACAAGGCACACAATAAGAATAAGACCAATAGAGACTTCATAAGAGACCGTTTGAGCTGCAGGTCGTAATGCTTCTAGAAAGACATATTTCGAATATAGAGGAGTGAAAGTTCCCAACAACGAGTTGATCATACCCTTCTTTGAACCGTACGAGCACGTCCTCTGTAACCCCCACCGCGCTTACGGCTCTATACCCCAACCCAACTTGCTCTGGCCCCTGGTCCTCCCTTTCTATTCCTCGGTAAGCGGACTGTGGGAGCATGAGAGGGGAGATATCCGCTTTTGACTGATAGAAAGCATCTCTCTTTTGTCCCTCCTGACCGAACCCGAAAAGAATAACTTTATGCCACTTTGTACACTTTAGTGTAGGCACCTTCTTTAAACATGCCAAGCTGTGGAAGAGAGGTGTCAGGGGAATCAATGCTCTCAGCTGAAATAGGGCTTGAAGCCTTCGAAAAACCTTTATGCTCTTTTTTTCCTATCGAGTGGCGTCAACCAGACTCTTATCATACAACTCTTTTTCTTTCTCTTCTAGTGTCCTTTTATTATCTCTTGGCCCGTTGCGCCTGTTTGACCAATGAGAGTCCAGACTGGAGCTCATCTGATTCATTCTTCCATTCGTCAGTATCGTCAAAGCAGCTGAACTCAATCCCGATGGCTACCAGTGTCGATTGGCATTCCACTTCTACAAACTATATATATACTACAGATGTGACCATGATTCTATCTTGGTGAGAGTGGCGTGACTTGAAGCTGCACGGAGACCATTTCCTTTTCTTGCTCTCGTGGTGGATGTCATCTCGGCATATCGGTCGGTTTAAGATGAATCCGGGGGAGGGATAAATCCTCCATTGGCCGTTGACCTTTGATTCTCTTCTCTGAACAGCTCTTAGGCTAAGATTGAGTTGAATCCGCTTCTCTTCCGTATTCCTCAACTCGACTTTTTGTTGCCGAAGCTGTCTTGAGGCCCTTTCTTTTTGGCTTCCTTGAGTCAGCTTGGTAACTAGTCTAGTAAAATAGCCTCTTCTCTTCCCTTAACCTTAATAGGGTTGGCTCCTTCTTCTCGTCCACTTGGGAATGAAGCCTTACCTTTCGCTACTAACCTGTTAAATGGAGTTGAGCTGGCTACAAAAAAAATGGCTTCAGTGATGGTTGCTTCATCAAATCAAATATAGGTGGCAGGGTCAGACTTTGAGAAAGAGTCCACTGCTGTCCAGTCATAGTCAGTAGGAGCAGCTCCAGCTCAGCTCGATCAAATTTCAAAATTTAACTCTGGCCTTGTAGTACCTCGATATCCTCTGTTCGTAAGTAACCATTTTGAACTAAGCTTGCTTTCTTAACTCTTAAATTAGGTCAAAGTTGGTCCTCAACTCTTCTTCGTTGAAACCCACATTTTGAAAAGTTCTGTTAGGTTCTTAGTAGCAGTCGGCGACCTTTTCTTCCTTCTTTTACTTCACATAGCTTTTCGTCTCCTTGATAGCTGGAAGTTCTCCAAAAGTATGAAAAGATGGAGGACTTTGTACCAGCCATTCCAGTGTGGTTGA